TGGCTGTCCTTCTGTCCCTAGCCCCAGGTGAGAGCTGCACAGTTTCTTCCAACAGCCAACTCTTATCCCCAAGAGATCGACCCATGCTGAGATCACATATTCCGCCTGCTGGAGATTCCGGTGGATAAGTGTCAGTTGTTCAGTTCTTGGGGCTCCTGTTGTCTTGGCGCATCCATCATTGATATGGATCAGATTTAACCAGTCCTTTAAGGACCCATTCATTCCACCCCAGACAATCACGTGGCAACACCTCACGTCTCCTCCTTTTCCACAAGAGCATCTTTCTAATCCTTTTGCACCCACTGAATAGCAATGCAAAGTACAGTAGGAAACCAAGGCATACAGAGGAATCAAAAATATCACAGAAAATGCCCACTTCATTGTCAAACCCCTCCATTATTTGTCTTCTGTCCATCTGGGAGATACTCAGGGTGTAAGTTATTGGGAGCAGGAACAGAGATGAGATGGGGTAGCACTAGGCAGGAAGGGGTTCATGGGTGCTCACTGTGACACTGTATAGAATCTGGGGGACACTTTAGGATACTATGAATGCAATTTTACACTATTGGTAATGAGTTATGGCAGATATGCCATGTAAGATATCTGCACAAATATTATGATTTGCCAGATATGATAATCTTGTTTATTTATTTGGATCACCTTTTGTATTATGAGTTATAGATATGTATGTATGTCTGTATTTTAAACTTGGGCTATGCTTCTGCGTGACACCCCCCAGACAGTTTGGAATCAGCATGATGGCCCATTAAGGACCATCTGCTATACAACTGACCCATTGAGAGAAGGCAGAGGATACACCTTCCGACTCAGCAAGGCATGCCCAGGCATGCCCATGGACGGAAAAGGCTTCCAAGCCATGTGTTGGGCAGCTTGTGTTTGAAACAATGGACGCACAGGCCGCATGACAAAATACTATAAAAGACAGCTGCATCTTCTCCATTTTGTCTTCAATCCTGCTTTTTACCTCTGGAGGAACTTTGCTACAAACTGAAGCTCTGAATAAAGGACTGAATGATGCATCCAAGCTGTGGATGTATTCCAGAGGGACTTTCAAGCCAGCAAACTCACCCATACTGCTAGGAACCTGATATATGAACTTTAAAGTATTTGTACCTATGTGACTGCTTTACCATCTCTCTTCTTGTTCTACAAAAACAACAAGGAGTCTGGTGGCAGACTAACACGGCTACCTCCTTCTTCTTGTTCTGTTTCTTTATAATAAACCTTTAGTTTCAAACACTAAAGGATTGGCTGACAGCGTAGTATTTTGAGTAAGATCCAATCCCATAATGACCTGGTGACGTGGCTGACCCTTCGGGGTCAGAAGAACATTTTGTATATGTGAGCATATAACTTCTCACTGTACTGGACCTAGATGCTGATTGGGAGCCAGAGAACTGGAATGCAATAAGGGAATCACACAGCCCCCCTTTTTTTGTTTTGTTTTTTGCTTCTTGATAGCCGAGGGAGCAGCAGCACAGTTTGTGACTGCTTGGGGAGTTTAATTTCAGTGTTACCCGCCAGTCTTGGGAGTATCTGCTCTCCCCTTTGCAGCCTGCCCTGACCTTGGCATTTCCAGTGAGGGCTGCACCAGGCACCATGGGTCACACCCACAACCAGCAGTTTGATCTGTAGGCAATTCCAGAGGTGCTAAAGGATGTGGCTGCGCCAAAACAATGGCAGGGACTCCATGGGCCCTACACCCCCCATCCCCCCCGCTTTCAGTTTTCTGGTTTCCCCCAAAGTCACTAGGGTTCTGACCACTGTTGCCTTGATCTGTTCCAAAATTTGGGGGAATGTTCAACTGTGGCATTCAGGAGTATTGTGTTTGACAGAGAAACGCAGCTGAGCTGAGTATAAGGCTCATAGCTCCCCATGGAGAGGGCCCAAAGGGAGACTAGGCCTGGGGCTTCCAGTTGGCAGAGGGTGCTCAGCTCTCTAGCAAGTATCACCCACCAACAGTCTTCCCAGTACTGGGTCCCACAGAGCTCTGGATGACAGTGCTGGGTTCGGCAAGTGGCACCAGGTCACAAGGAGTCTCCCCTCAGAGTGAAAGCCCCAGTCCCACAAATACCTGCAACTGAGGCTGCTGGGATGGTCAGTCCTGGTCGGAGCGAAGCCCGGCGGCCTGTGGTGGACATGAAGCATCATCATTAGCAGTGAAACATCTGACCCCTTGTGTCAGCTCCCTGTTCTCATGAACACAAAGGTCCCTGCATCCTGCAGGCAAATATACCCCCCAGTCCTAGCACACATCCTTCCCAAGAGCTCACCTGCTCTTTGAGTCCTAGGTACTGCAGCTGCTGTCGAAGCCTTGGAACAAGTGGCAGCGATGGAGGCTGCCACCCTCCTGGTTGGTACGGGAAGCCTTCGGGCACGTTTCTAGTGGGAGGGGAAGAGAGGAGACAGTTATTGGGAGCAGAGCCCTGGAGAACAGGAAAATGAAGTGGGTCAAGAAACCACCTTTCACATCTGCCTGCCGCATCTCACCTGTTCAGTTGGAGGCTGATTCTCATCACTAGGCCCTCGCTTGGCCCTCAAGCCAGGCACAGGCAGCTGGGAAAGGGCCTTCCCTGCAAGTGGCACCTGCCATCCATCAGCATTCCCCTTCTGCTCCATGTGGGGACCTCTGGGAAGGAGTAAGGGGGCTTGATCAGTCACATGTTATACAGACACCCCGATGACTGTGTGTGCGCCCAGAGCAGGGTGAGCACCCCCCATACACACCCTGTCGCACCCCAGCCCCTGCCATGGTGAGACCCTCTGGAGGGGCAGGATCTGGTTGGTGCCCATGAGTGGAGGGCTCACCTGAGACCAAGCAAACTCCTTCCACACAGGGAGGCAGAAGCCAATGGGAGCAGATTCAGCACCTGTGCCCAAGTCACACTCCCCACTGCAGCACTCCCCCCGGTCTGGGCGGAGCGGCTGGGGTCCTGGGCTCTGAAGTGAACCTGTGGGGAGAAGGGGAGACAGGCAGGTGAATGCTAGGAAGGGGAAACAGGAACTTCCCCAACCCCACCCATCTGCATCGCAAGGCCCTACCTCTGCCCCCCAGCCCAGCCACAAACATCTGCAACCCATAGCGCTGCCTCCGCCCCCCCAGCCCAACCCCAAACATCTGCACCCCATGGCGCTGCCTCCGCCCCCCC